CCTTAACCTAAATACTGATTCTTCATACCCAATTTGAATCATTCGAGTAATTTACTTCAAAAACTTCAAAAATAAAATCATTTATATAAATGTTTGCTGAGAATTCTTTAAAATACATAACGTCAAAAATCTTTAGAAAAAATTTAATTTTGAGTTGCAATATATTATTAATTCTTGTTTGAAAATAAATATATGATAGTTAGGAAAATATGAAATACATAATATAACGTGAAACTTTTCAACGGAGAAGAATTCAGAAAGTTTTCTGAAAATGATTTTCTAGATTTATCATTGATCGAAGAGAAGAATAATTTTAATATTGAATTCCAAAAATTAAAGAGTAGGGGTAATTTTAGCTAAAAGTGACACGCCTGTAAAAAGTGACACACCCATGAAGGGTGTGATTACCGATCGGTAATTTCGACAGTTTAGAATTTAAAATTTTTTATGGAACTGTTGCGAGTTTCATAAAGAATTTAAGGAATATAAGCAAAGATTTGAATCAAAATCTTCGAACTAAGCCGATCGCTTCGCTCGCGGCTTTCTTTATTATTTTAAATTTGCATATTTCCATCAAAAGTTCATAAGGTAAAAAATTTCGTTTATTTTTACTAAGAAAAAAAGGTTTTTGATAATAAATTTATTTTATTTCGAAAAAGTAGCAATAATCGTAAAAGGGTATTGATAGGCTTGCTAAAGTAACTAATTTTAGCTGTCAAATACTTTTGTATTTTGAAGTAAATTAGTATAAATTTGGTATTATTTTAACTCCCTTTGAAAACCTCAATTTTCCATACAGAGGGAACGGAAATAGCATCCAATATTCCCTGAGAATGTTTGCGCATTCTCAGTTCCCTCTATATTTCGAACGAAGCTCTCATCGGTCTTTTTTTTAATACTAAACGTTTTTTTCCCTGTCACTTTTAGCTAAAATTTGGGTTTGCCAAAATTAAATTCTCAGCCATGCGATTATTTTTGATTCAAATGCTGTTCGGTGTTAAATGGAAAAATTAATCATATTACTGAGAATTACACTTTTCCGATATTTTTTGGGTCGCTTCGTTCCCTGACAAAAAGTCAGAAAAGTGTAAAATCTAATTCGGTAAAATTTGGAAATTTAAAAAAAAAAAAGGTAGTGGGGCTTCCAGGCACTTCGTGCCCTCTAGCCCTGAAGATGTTTAGTATAAATGAAGTTTTTTTGGGTATTGGGGGCTTCCAGGCGCGTTGCGCCCTCTAGCCCATAAAAAATTTTTGAGAGTCGTCGCTGTTGACTTTTTTTGTAGAGCACTCAAAATAGTATAACTTTGTCCGGACAAGTAAGGGTCTATCGTCGCTACAGGAAAAGTTACGGGCGTTCCAAGGAAGTATACTTTGAGAGACTCTTTAGAAACTTTAGACGTTATACATAACCATCCATGCTTTTACTTTACATCCGATAAAAGTGGTTTGGAAACCGTTATGAGATGGTTAGAGGACATACATGACTATGAGTTTAGATATGACAAGATAGAATATGAGAGAGGTCCTATAAACCGGAGAAAGTGTCATATAAACATCTGTCAAAAACCGCTTTTTAACTTCACTTAAAATGCCACGTAAGCTACGTAAGAATATACGTAAGAGGAAGAGAGCATTGAAACATCCAATAGTAAAACTGACACCACAACAACAGTTGCAACAACAAATGCTGAATGACCCCACTATGTTGCAACAAATGTCAAGCAACCCTATACTTTTAAACCGAGTTATTGGTGCACAGAGTGGAGGTTTAAGAGCGGCACTTTTAGCGAAAATGGCAGGCTATGGTGGAGCTGCAGACGGAACAGCTTATAACCCTCAAAGTCAAATGAATTTGAGTTCACTCAAAAATCAAATAACAGATGTCAAAAAGTCAAACATAGACATACAGAAACAAATAAGTGAAAACGAAAAGAAACTAGAATATGACAGACACACAAAGAAACTCAATGAGTTAAACGTAGAGAAAAAGAAGAAAGAAGAACAACTGAAAGAACTAAGTACAGAGGAATATGCGAAAAAAGTGTCAGAAAAAGCAGCAGAAGTAGCAAAAATGGAACAAGATGTTTTAAATTTGAAAAACCATACTACTCAATATAAAGTACTGAAAGATGAAGAAATAAAACAAAAAGCCCTGAAGACATATATGGATAGCGATGAGTATAAAAAAGAAGTTGAAGCAAATGTAAAGGCAGAAAAACTTTTACAGTTGCAAAACCAAACCGTACAGTATGAAAACTTAGCACAAGAAAGTAAAAATAACGACGCAGCCATGCAAAAGGCAATGAAAAGCGCAGAATATATAAAAGCTAACAATGACTGGTTAGATGCCCAAGCCAACGCTAAAGCAGCCCAACTTATAGGGTCAATAAGGACAAAAATACAAGCGGATGAAGACAGTTCAAATGAAGCTTTAACGAATGCTGACTTTAAGAACGCCTTCGAAGCTCTTCATAGTAAGGTGAAACTAGTGAACGACTTCTCATCTGGAAAGAAACTGAAGTCTGAAGGTTTCGACAAAGAGTTAAGAGAAGTAGCACAAAATATGACGAAAATAACAGATGCAGCAACGAGACAGGCAGTTCAAAGTGCCTATGACGCCGTTAGAGCAACTGTTGTGGAAAGTCAAGAAAAAGAGTTACAACAGACCAAAACAGACCTAGTAAATGCTTTCTTAAAAACGAAAAGTCAGGTAGGACATTATGCTGCAGATGGAACATATGTGCCAGCTGGTGGAACTTATATACTAGCTAGTGGAACTTATATACCACCAAACCCTCCAAGAGAAGCACCTGCACCAGGACTACCTAAAACATTTACATCGTCACATGGACACAGACACAGGCATGCACCAAAACCAACACAACAACCAACAGTTCAAAATCCAGCACAACAACAACAACAACCAACACAACAACCAACAGTTCAAAATCCAGCACAACAACAACAACCAGCACAACAACCACCTCCACAACCAGCACAGCAACCAACAGTTCAAAACCCTGCACAACAACAACCACAAACAGAGCAAGGACATAAAAGAAGTAGAGAACAAGGAAACCAAGAATTCTTAAAAATGCTTAAGGAAAATTATGGTTACCCAGATACTCTTGACTTTAGTGACAGATATAAAGAAGCTATTAGAAAGTTCAATGAAGGAAATACTGACCCGAACCTATTTAGCTTTATGGTTCAGCACCAAATGGGATATAATTTCAAACCTGGAAAATACAAGCTCGCTAAGGGATATGATTTAATAGCATATCATCCAAATGACATGGATGAATTTACTCCGAGATATTTGGTGTCAGAGATAAATGATAATTCAACTATCTTCATGAAACGCGTAAAAAATAGAGACGGAACGAAAGAAGAAAGGTTTATGAGTCCGGATGACGTAGATAGGGAAATTGTTAAAAACGGTCTCGGAATATATGAAATGCCAGCAGATGAGGTACAAGAAACTCCACAGGAAGAAGTTCAGATACAACCAGACATGGAAGAAATAGTTCAGCAACAACAGCTAGAAGAGCCTGAAGGAAACGAACAAGTCCTTCCTTTGGAAACTAACTTCACAGAACTAGATGAAGATTTGGAACAGCCGAAAAATCTTGACCCTCAACAAGAGTATGCGGAGAATATGGAATATTTCCAAGAGTCTAAAAAAAATTCGGCTGACATAGTAGAAGAATATCGAAAAATGTTTGCCGACATACAAAAGACTCCAACATCAGATGAAAATATCCAGCATAGAATGGAAGAACTGAAAAAAAATGTACACAAATACAACAACCCTTTTTACTTACGAGCATTTAACGTTCAATCTTTGGCTGAACTCGGTGAAAATAAAAGGTTAAATTTCAAGAAAACATATAGAAATGAAACATTGTTTAAAGTTCATTCAGAACCTAACCAAGATGGAAACAAACCTACTTTTGTTTCTGCAGACGATGGAACTACAATGAGATGGGGTCATAAAGCTAATCCAGATAGGTGGTTCATAAACTTACAACCACAATTCCAAGAAGTTGTAGACGCAATGGAAGTCAATGGTGAACCAGATATAGCTGGTATTTTCAGCGCGGCTTTAATGCCATTGAAAGATATGAAAGATGCAGATATTTTGGACCAGTATGAAATGAACATGGCTGATGGAAATATAACACCTGACGTTCTAGAACATTTATCTCAAAGAACTACACAGAACCATAGAGATGGTATATTTGGTGAAGAGTTTAGAAAGAAAGTTAGGGAGGGAGAAAGAAGAGAACCTATTGTACATGACCTTGCAAACGAAAGTTTACAAAATGTCATAAAAACTTACTTTGCAGACAATGAACCGAGAAGGGATGAATATTTAAGAAAACTCAAATGGACAGTACCAAATGAAATGTTAGTATTGAAAAACATGTTCCTTGACAAAATAAAACCAACTACAGAAATAAATGACGCAAGACTGAAACATTGGGTAAAAGCTTTCCCATTCACAAAAGATATTATTGGTAACATGGAAAGAAAACCAGAATGGCTACAAAAACATATATTTGGAAACGAGCATATTCCATATGGACAAGCTATATTTGAAGAGCTTGAACCGGAAACTCAGGAAAGAGTCATGCAAACAATAAGCGAAGACTCAAATACAAACTATGACAAAATCTTTCTAGGATATAGGTTACCTGAGATGGGCGACCAGAGCCAAAGGCAAAAAGGACATGGGAAATTTACAACATACTAGGTGAACATGAGGCAAAGATGCAACAACTTGAAGCATAGGGCAAGTTACCAAAAGCGACACCAAAGAAGAAGAGAAGAGTAGAACAAAGTGAAAGTAGTGAAGAAGTAACTTCATCTAGTGAAAGTAGTGGCAATGAAGGAAAAAGAAGAGTTAAAAACTCAGTCAGGAAGAAAGTAAAGCTTGGTCGGAGTGGGTTCTATTATGACACATAAATCCAACTATTCTATATTTTTACCCATATGAAATGTACGCCGCTCAGAATATAACGCCAACAGTTTTGGATGCCATGAACGGAAATGTTTCCGAATGGTATAACGAATGCGACAATGCCATTAGAAGGTCAGAAATAGTTCCTGGAACTTACGAATATACAACTGCTGTTTCTTATGGAAACGTAGGTGAGTTTGGAGAAGGTTCTTCAACAACAGTAGATATTGCTTGCGACAGGTTTCATATTATTTCTATTGACAACTCATTCTTATACGTGGAACAAGACATTGAAATAAAACCTTCTGCCAAGTTGTCTGACAAGAAAGGTTGCAATGGAATTTTCTATGTCGGATACCAATATGCTCCAGAAGTTTTCATGGGATATAAGATATATTCTAACTCTGACTTAGTTCAAACAGTAACATGGGCAAACTCTGAATGGTTCGCTTTGAGAAACTCAGTACAACCACAAGCTAGAGAACAAACAGACCAGTATGCAACTATTGAGAAAATAAGAAGACTTGACCCTAACGTTCCAGGAGTTTATGTTAACCTTTCTGGTTCAGATGGAACTGCTGCCACTAAAGTAAAACTGAAACTTAGAGTTCCTTTGTCATCTTTCCTCATCTTCAGGTTTTTAAGATACTTGCCAAACTGGGCAGGAAAAATTTCTATCGAACTTACTCCAAGCAAAAATAACTTAGTCATTGCACCAACACAAGACCCATTCACTATTGAAGCCAAAGCAACAGCTCAGGAAACATTCGCTGCCTTTTGCAAAAACAAAGTTGACTTAGACTTTGGTTTCTCAAACTTCAACAATGAAGTAAACTACTATATGAAGGATAATGGTGGTGCAAACGTATGGGACCCAGTTAAGTTCACATGCGAAAAATTTGAATGCAAGAGAATAGAAAGCAGACTTGCAGTCTATATGTTGGACCCAGATATTTCAAATGCTTTAGCTGCCAAATATATTGCAGTTCCACTTATGTTCCCTATACACCAAATATCTGTCAAAGACTTTGCAGGTGAAGTTGGAAACCAAAGTGCTGACCCAGGTGCAAGAACAGATATTGCCTTAACAACTGCAATGAAACATGCAGATACTATGTTTGTCTTTTCAGACGAACTATAAATGACTATTCTTGTTTCTACAACCCTGGTATTAAATATCATATAAACATAGATGGCAAATATTATCCAAGAGAAGAATATTCTACAGTTGAAGATATGAGGTCATACAACTTGACATTAGATGCTATGAACTTTAACAACAACTTCACAACAACCATTAACCCTGAAATGCAAAGTTCTATTATGCCATATGTGAAAGTATGGACTCATTCAGGAGGTCAAAAAACTCAATATACAAATAGAGACCGTTCAAACTTTTGGCTTGGCATTCCATTTGCTGACTCAGAAGACTTTATGGGTGGTATTTCAACTGTTGGTACAGTTCAAATACAATATACTGGTGACAGAGACGGTCCAGATGAATTGAAAGCAAAGAAGTTTACAAAACCAATAGCACTTTTCACAGAAGATGCTCTTTTGAAAATTCGTTCGATGAAACCTGCTGGGGCTCCTCAGATTGGTATAACGACAGTTTCCATCGAGCAGATTTTGGAGGCAGGTCAGTAAGTTGTTCTTGAACTGACTTCTCTCCGTCAAATATTGACAGTACGCCAGTTTTGACATAATATTGTATTATAAACTTACCTTTAGAAATATCGGTCAGTTTTGAAGTTATATTTTTGTCTGCTTCAAGAACTTTCACCATTTCAGTTATACCAACTTTCTTTGCTTTATGAAAATATTTTGGTTCAGCAAATATTGCTATTCTATAACATTTTCCATTGTTTGTATAAAGAACTATTCTGTCAATGTATTTGTATTGTTTGTGTGTGTAAACTTTGTTTTGCTTCAATTCGAAGAGATATCCGAATACGTCCATCTTTTTATTCTAAGTAAAATGTCATTTCCGAAAAATAGAAGCGTAAGTGTTTCAAAAGGTTTAATGGCGGTGGCAGATGTGAAGTTAAATTCACCAACTCAAACAAACAGTCAAAGTGTTGTTGTCAATGTCAAAGACAGAGATGTTGAAGTGGGGAAACCATACTAAGACGAAGATGGTATAACAATAGTTCCTGTAAAAGAACAACCAACATATCCTGAAGTTAGCAGAGACTTAAGTTCTGTTGCAGATATTCGAAATGACTACCAACAACTGAAAGACAAACTTAAAACTCAGGAGAAGATTTGTCAAGCTTTAGGTATAATGTTAAACTTGGTCGAACACAACCCTGTAAAAGTGAACTCATATGTCATTGCACCTCATGAAGTTTTGAAAGAACTATTGAAACTTTTGACAGAGGCAGACGATATAAACATCAAAGAAATAGAACCCGACATTAGTTGCTGTGGTGTTTCATATAATGTCATTGACAAGATATACGTTATGAAAGGAGGTGAAACGTTGAACTTAAAATATAGTTTCCCAGACGTTATAAAAATATTTGACGACCACAACATTTCATTAAAATTTATTTGCTAAGTAAATGCAGAAGACATAATGGTTTATACTATTACGACTAAAAACCCTGAGTCATATAATTCTATAACAACAAACTTACAAAGTCCTCAAAGACGATATTGTAAACTAACCTTAAACACAATGACGACTAAAGCCTGTTTTGCTCTTTTGACACCAGAAGACTTTATTGTTGTGAATGGTAAAAAATACTCCTTTGAAGATACTTACTCAGATATACCACCAACAGGTTTTGTTGACTTATTTAATACTTTAAGTACGGGTGTAACATGTGCTGCAACTAGAGCAGGTTTCATTATGTTTGGATGTCCGACTGAGTTTAGTATAAACGATATGAGCTATAATACAAAACTTATATCTGGTTTTTACTACCAACAGTTTCCTATAACAGGAAAAGGTGTCATACAAGGAATGTCTGTTCCATTGACTTTAAGTACACCTATTTTATATATTGTTTCAAACTTAGGTTCAAAGTGTTATTCGAATGTCGACAGAAACTATTATGACCAAAAGATACTTATGCGTATAAACAATACTTTCTCTGCTGGTTTGCCTATTGTTCATTCGAATGCAGAATTTTCACCTTAGTGAACTCAAACACTTTAGCAAGTATAACTTGACATTAGTTGACGCAAACTTTGTTCCTGTAAAACTTTTATGTCCTATGTATTTGTCAATGACGGCAGAAAGTTTCGAATTGGAAGATGCAACTGGTGAAAGTATTGTACTACAAGAACAACTTCAACAAACAAATAGCTCAAGAACAACAAATGCAACAAATGAACAAGAACAACAAAGTCAAGAATAAAAAAAATATTTTTTTTTTTTATAAAAATGTACAGAATAGATGTTTCAGATTTTTATGACTTCCAAGCATTCAGAAATATGTGTCCATTTAGAGACTATAACAAAGCAGTCGAGAATTTGAAACGTTTAGTCATTTATGTCGACTCTGCCCCAGAATGTTATGTTATGAAAGAATGGGATGTTGTCTTTAACAAACCAAGAGCAACAATAGTGTCTGAACAAGAATGTAGACAGAAACTTAAGAAAATAAAAGTCGTACAAGTTGGTATGAAGATGTTAGATGCTTGGGATATCTTATTGTCAAAACTTGAAGATTTTTCAGTTCGTGGTATAAAGTTCTATACACCATCTCCAAACTTCTATTCTATCTTCACTGGATATAAATACGAACAAGTAAATGGAAAGAAAATTTATAGAAGCTTGGTTAGACCATGTCAAAGAAATTATATGCAATGGAAACGAAAGAGTCTATGAGTATATCTTATGTTGGTTTGCAAACATCTTACAACATCCAAGTGCTAAAAATGAAACTGCTCTCATTATAATTGGAAAACAAGGAACAGGTAAGAACACATTCTTTACAGATATTTATGCAAACTGTTAGAAGGTTATTCGAATCCTAATATGACAAACTTAGAAAACATCTGTGGCAAGTTTAACTCCTCAATAGAGAATATGAAACTTATAGTATGTAACGAACTTCAAAGTATAGATACAACAAAGTTTTAAACTCGGATGCTTTGAAGAGTCTTATAACAGACAAAGTTGGAGTTGTTGAAAGAAAGTATAAAGACCAAAGAGTTTGTGAAAATGTTGCAAACTTCATTATGGTTTCAAACAATGCTGTTCCGATGAAGTTAGAAAGTTCTGACAGAAGATATGTAGTTGTCAGAACGTCAGATTCTCATATGCAAGATACAGAATATTTTGACGCTTTAGCAGAAACTTTGACATCTGACTTTTACAACCACTTGTTCTCATATTTCATGACATTAGATATTTCAAAGTTCAATCCAAGACAAATTCCACATACCGAAGAGAGACAAACATTTAGAAGCAAACAAGAGTGTATATGAACTGTTCATAGATGAACTGACTTTGAGTGTTTAGATGAAAGGTCATTGTACGATTCGTATAAACAATATTGTCAAGAATATGGTTATATGACAGCGTCTAAACGAACATTCTTGGCAAATGTCAAAATCTTTTAGACGTACAGAATGGTGTATACAAAAGAAAAATTTTTCTGAGTAAATTTTAAAAAAAAATATTTTTTTATCCGATAGAAAAGATGACAAAATTCATTCAGTCAACAAGTACATTGTCAGGACTTAAAGAAGAACTAGACCCATTCACATATTTGAATGTTTACTTCTACCATTTTGAAAAGTCTTCATTCAGCAAAGTTTGGAACATCGAACCAGTTAAGTTTGCTATTGTGACTAAAAATGGTGCGAAATTTGAAGACTTAGACATAGAAGGTTTGTTACAGTCAAAGAAATTTTGACAGAAGGTTCTCAAACCTTAAAGAAGGCAAAGCATACAAACTTGTTATACCTTATGAACCAAAGAAAGACAGACGACTATGAATATTATGAGTCTAAGTTGTAGAAGTTCAAGGTAAATTGGGTAAAAAGATTTTAGAGTCTAAGCAGTGTTTGCTCCTAAAGAGGAAGAGAACATTGACATTGACCCAGAAATGTTCTAAAAATAAAATTTTATTTTTACATGTCAAATTTCTTTTTCTCTGGCTCTGGTTCTTCTTTCTCTTCTTCTACTTTCTTTTCTTTCTTTCTTTCTTTTCTTCTCTTCTTTTCTGGTGGAGTTATGTCAAACTTCTCAGAACCATATTTTGTAAAAGTGCTTTGTCATTTAATAGCTCTTCTATTCTGTTTTCTATTTCATCTTCAAGAACAGCGCATGTGTCTTCTTTGCATTCTAAAGAAGTTTTGTTGGACTTCATCTCTCCAATCGGCGTCATCTCTGTCAACAAGTCTGTCATTGACAAATTTAAGACTGCTCTGCTTAATGTTTTATGGTTCTTGTCATATTCCCAGAAACAGAACTTTAGAACAAATTCCCCTTTCTTGTTTACACTATGTAAGATTTTATGGTCGACAGATGTTTTGCTGTCGAAAAGCTTGTCTCGAATATAGATAGCGAAATCGCTAGACATTTTCTAAAAGATAAAAATTTTAATTTTTCTAAAAATATGTTAGAAAAAAAGTTTGCTGACATTGACAAGAAATTTGAGAATGTTTTAAATAAGAACAAGAGGAAGTTGGAAAATGCTCAGATAAACCCATACATGACAAGTTCTTATTTGCTCAGAATGGTATAACAGGTCTAATTGCACCACCTGGGTCTGGTAAGACTTTCACTTATCTTAAAATGGCTGCACAACAACAAGAACTAGATGAGAAGAACCCATTCTATGAGTTAGTAGTCATTTGTAGTACTTCGGGTCAATTTGACCAAACCGTCAATTCGTTCAAAGATATTATAAAGAAGTCTAAGTTAGTATGTATAAAGGATACTGAGTTGTTAGATTGGATAAAGAAGTACCAAAGAGAGTTTTGAAGTATAATGCTATAAATGAGTATGTCAATTCGAAGTTTAAAGACCCAAATGAGGAAATGCAGAGAATATTAGAGAAGAAACACTTCAGAAACAAACAGAAAGAGATAGAATACATTTCGAAGAAATTGCAATCTTACGATTGGAAGACTTACCCTCACAGATGTCTTCTTATCTTAGATGATTTCGCCTCTCATCCTTTGTTAAAGAATAGAGAACAAGACATGTGTCGAATTCTTAAGAAGCTCAGACACTTTAACATTTCAGTCGTAATATGTGTACAGACAGCCAAGAGTTTAAGTAAGGATGTTAAAAGAATACTTACTGACATTATACTTTTCCCCGGATTGTCCGAAGACGATTTCATGGAACTTATGAAAGAGTCCATGGCAGGTAAGTTTGACAGACATGAACTATGGGAGAAGTACAAAGTCATACAAGACCCTCATACTTCTTTCAGAATTCATATCTACGCAAACAAAGTTCAAATTGTAAAAAGTCAAGCTTGAAAAATAAAGAGTTCATTTACTCTGCTTGTTTGAAGTTGTCAAAATACTCTGTTATTTTTTCCTTCAGTAGCGGTAAGTCTTGCGATTTTCGTACGGAATCTCTTCCCTCGGTTTTCCGAGGGAAGCAAGCATATGAGGAAATTCTTCTAAAAGTTCTTTTGTCTGTTGGTTTTCAAACCAATGATATGCTTGCTTTGTAGAACGAAGAGCATTCAAAATACTTTGCATTTGGTACATATCGTCTTTGACTGAACGAATGAGACGTAACTGTTTGTTAAACTGAACCCACTCGTATTCTTCATTTATGGTTTCATGAACGATAGCAGTTGTTGTGTTCTCTGTTGTTGACATTACTGTTTCTTATATACAGGATAAAAAAATATTTTATAAAAAACTAACTTTATTTTTTCTGTCTTAAGGAAATGTTAAAAATTCATGGTTACATATGTGAAAAGAAGTCACGAACAAATGAAGTCCATAAGATTCAGCACAAAATTCTGAATCGAATGGTGTGTCATACATGTCAAACCGTCAAGAATTGAAGGAGATACGAGGCTATAAAGATTTTGTATATTTTCTGACACACACCCTGAGGGAAAAGTGACAAAACACAACGATAGAAAAAGTGACAAAATTGAGAGAAAGTTGTCCCCCGACCAAAATGCAATCATGTTGAAAAAGTGACATTTGTAAAGTTGGACGATAGGATTTCCTGAAAAAGTGCAAGACTTGTCTTGAATCAGGACAAGATTTGTCTTGAAAAAATACAAGACTTGTTCTGAAAAAATACAAGACTTGTCTTGAATCAGGACAATTGTTCTCAAATTTGAGAACTTTACAAGAAAAACTGACTAAAAAGTGCAAGTCTTGTTCTGAATCAGGACAAGATTTGTCTTGAAAAAAAAAAAAAAAAAAAAAAAAAAAAAAAAAGGTACTGGGGCTTCCAGGGCTGCGCCCCTCTAGCCCCCTGAAGATGTTTAGTATAACACCAGGTCCCTCGGTCCCTCGGTCCCTCGGTTAAACGAACTTCTCTGAAAAAATGAGACAACATGACATTTTGACAACAGTCCAGGAAGTCTTAACAAGATAGGATGGTTATTTTACAAAACCGACAAGACCTGAACCAAGTAGTTTTCATGTTTTGTCACTTTTCTGTCACTTTTCAGGGTAAAAACATTTTTATTGTATATAAAATGAATTTTACAAAACCACCGTTACCCTTCTTTGGAAATAAGAGTAGATGTAAAGATATTCTATTGAGAGAACTTAAGAAACTACCGAATGGTCTAACATTTGTAGATTTGTTCGGTGGAAGTTTCTATATATCTCATTTGTGCCATACTGTATTTCCTGACTCAAAGATTATATGCAATGACTTCGACAACTATATGAACCGTCTCAAACATATACCAGACACAAACAAAATATTGAGTGAGTTAAAAGAAAAGATACCTATAGGCAAGATGGAACGTATACCATTAGATAAAAAAAATACTGTCAGAGAGGTTTTGAAAAAAGCAGAGTATATTGACTGGGATAGTATATCTTCTAGACTATTGTATAGTGGTTCTATAAGAGTTCATGACATTGAAACACTTATGTCAAACGTTTTATATCTTAACTATACAAAGGTTTTCAAAGAGAACATAGAAAAATATACTGAGGGTATAGAGTTTGTGAGATGTCATTGGACAGAGTTGTATGAAAAATTTAAAGACAAGGAAAATGTTTTCTTTATAGTAGACCCGCCGTTCTATAACACATATGATTTTCAATACCAAGTAGACTGGACTTTGAGAGACTCTTTAGAAACTTTAGACGTTTTACATAACCATCCATGCTTTTACTTTACATCCGATAAAAGTGGTTTGGAAAGTGTCATGAGATGGTTAGAGGATATACATGACTATGATTTTAGATACGATAAGATAGAATATGAGAGAGGTCCTATAAACCGGAAAAAGTGTCATAACAAAGAAATTTTATTGGTAAGTAAATGTGGTTTGAAATAGGACTACTTGTTTTAGGTTTTTTCCATTGTGTCATTTACTTATTTGACGTGGCAGAAAGGTACAGAGAATATGAAGATGAACCAATACCAGCAAATGTTCAGCATAGTACTCGTAAGAGATATTTTTATCTAATATTAAAATGGACGCACAGAACTTAGCGAATGCACAGCAACCTGGACAACCAAACCCAGAGAATATTCCAAATGAAGTTAGAATACAACTGCAATGGCAAACTATGGTCAAGTGCCAACAGATGTACAAATGCAAACTGCCATGTCAAATGACGCTGCGTTAGGCTTACCACCATGGTATGCAAATATGAGATGGAAAGAGTTTTATACAAACCCTGAAGTGGGATATAAACAACTCTATGCAGATGACGCGAACACAGGAGTTGACCCAGAGTATGTTTTCTACCAGAGGAGAAATAGAATGTATGAGCTCCAGTTAAAGAATGCAATGGAACTCAGAAGGAAACGTAAGAGACTAGGTGGACATTAGATTTTTACATATAGTAAAATGGGTTTCTTTGGAAGAATAGGAAACTTCTTTCGAAATGTTGGAAGAGGTATATGGAATGGAATAAAAACCGTAGGAAGAGGAATTTGGAACGGAGTCAAAAATATTGGTAAAAGAGTAGGTCAGTTCGTTGGTATTATACCTAAAGACCCTGAACCAGAAGAACAAGCTCCTGTTATACAACAGCCTGAACCTGCACCACAGTCAAGTTGGCAACCAAATCCAACACCTCAACCGTATTAAAATTATATTTTTACCGTTCGATAGTAGTTGTATATGAAACTAAGTTCTAAGTAAAACGCATGGTATAATGGAACTATTCTCTTTCTTCCATCTGTTGTAAACCATACTTGAAAGTCTGAAATACTTCCACTCGGCGGTTCATATAGCTTTGTAGGTTTTTCGTAAAAGTCATTTGCCAAGCATAAAAAAAGAGTTTTGTGCACCAGAAATGAAGCATGAAACGATAATAGCATCTGAGTCGAAAACATTTCATATGTTCCATTAGGGTTTTTCGACTTCATAAAAGTTCGGGTGTACTGGATATTCTGCAGGCTGATTTAACATCCTCAAAAAATCTATACCATGCCAAGTTGTTATATTTTGTAGAAATATAAACGTCTTCTCCAAGGTCTTCTATTCTATTGATTTTAACAGTTGCATTTTTCCTGTCATAAACATATCGAGATGGTACTCTCCTTCGTCAATGTTGTACTGTTTTGCATATTCGAGATAGATATCGTTTATTTTTTTCTTGAAAAGCTTGAAGAGTTGTTTCTAAGTTTACAAGCAAATTCACTTGTAAAAGTTTTCCCTGTTCAAATTTCTCATACGTACGTTTTTCTTTGTTATAGTATCGAACTTCAAAAGCGACCGTAAATGGGAAACCATGTATGGCTTCTGAAAATGAACTTCATTCTACGAAAGCCAATAGCTTTTGTGACGGATGGGTCTCTTAGCCATCTTAACGGGTAGTCAAAACGATAGCCTTCATGCTTTACGGTATCTGTCTCAAAACTTTTGACCGACATTCGTAAAAAGTTCATCTAATGGTTTAGTTGTAGCAACTCTGAATTTTCTTTTCTATTGAAAGCATATTTTATCTAGAATAAAAATGTCGAAAGAAACAGCGTCTATGAGAGAAATACAAACACAACCGACAACTCATTATACAAGCTCTAAATAAGAACACAACAAACTTTTCAAACTATTCTAAGATATCTGAGTCATTGAAAGAAGGAAACTTAAAACTGACATTAAACCCATTGACAGACGAGTTTCTGTTTCAAGACAGTAAGAACCATACTGTTTGTATAAATCCAACAAAAGGAACTTTAAACGAGAAACCTATAGATGAACTTCTTTTGAAAGCAGATGTTGACAACAAAGCTGACAAAGAGTATGTCATTGAAAAAGTTCAAGAAGAACATGACAGAGCAGATGCAACATATGCAACGAAAGAACATACTCATCCTGAACTAGCAGACAAAACATATGTTGACAATAAAATGTCAAGTGAAGTGACAAGAGCTGAAAACGAATATTCTAAAAAGACTCATACACATACCATTGCAAATATTGCAAACTTACAAGAAACCTTAAACAGTAAAAGTGCCGTTGGACATACACATACCATTGCAAATATAACAAACTTACAAGAAACCTTAAACAGTAAAAGTGCCGTTGGACATACACATACCATTGCAAATATAACAAACTTACAAGAAACCTTAAACAGTAAAAGTGCCGTTGGACATACACATACCATTGCAAATATAACAAACTTACAAGAAACATTAGAGACAAAAGCAGATAAAACATATGTCAATGAAATATACCAAAGTTTAGTTGGAACAACAAAAAATATTGAAACTATTGTTGGTGACTTTTCTATCTATGAAGAAAACAAATATTTTAGATGGGAGTTTGTACAGTCTTTAAGAAATGGTATACGGTGTAAACTCATTCCGAAAAATAACAATGAAATGTATGTAAGCTATAAAAAGAACGATGGTACACAAGTTAAAGTTCCATTAGACAACAACTGCTACTTAAACTTCTATGGAGACGAACAAAAGAAATATTTAAGAGTTTATGAAATGGCAGATATGACATTGCCTGACCCAGCTCCAGCACCATACTATTATGACTATGGTGTTGACGTCAGAACACTACACGCAGACCCAAAAAAGCAAACATTCTATTTAGATTTTTATAGATATAAAAGATATAATGCAATAGAAAAAACGAGAATAGTATACTATTATACAGATGACAGAAATAAATATTATAGTCAAGACTTTACCTACCCTGAAAACATAAGATTATATTATAAAAAATATTCTGACACAAACCAGAAGAAACCTGAAATGGTTGCACTATATTTTAAGTTCAAAAGAGACAATCCTATAATATCTCATATGTTTGATTTCATGAACCCAGTAGGTTCTATTTACACGTCAATGGAAGCAAGAGGTCCTCAAGCAATGTTTGGTGTTGGTGCATGGGAACAAATAGTCGACAGGTTTTTGTATTGTGCAAACTCTTCAAAGGAAACAGGTGGAAGTAAAACGATTTCAGGTGAAAACCTACCTGCGCATAGTCACTACGTAAGTTTAACTACATCTCGAGAAGGTTGGCATAAGCATAGATATTGGGATTGGACAGGAATGACAAAAGGTAAAGGATATGATGTTAAAGACGACGTTAAGTTTGCTATAAATTGTTACTGGGATGACACTCAGGGAGAAGGAGACCATACACATCGCGTTTCAGGATATACGCAAACAACGGGACAGAGTAAAGACTACATGCCACTTT